AGAAGTGGCTTACATTAAGTTACGAAGCGTCAAAAATACAGATTTTCTACACATTGGGATATAACAAAAATGTGTTTATTATTAATTTCCTACCCAATGCTCAATTTATTTGAAACTATCAAGCTAAACCTTGGCATTGATACCTATATATTATTCTTAGAGTTGTAATTTTTGCACGAATCAAGTTACATAATGTATATGTAATGAAATATTCTATTGAATAAATTCATTAGCATCATTGATGATACCCATTTTCTTACGGTACTACTTGTTGTTTATCACCTTCAAATAAATCATATCATTTCCGTAATAGCTAAATCCTATGAAGTCACTTACCTTGCTAATAGAAGCCTTATGATAAAATGTAGTAAACTAAAGGGATATACCAAAAATTCACTTAAGTCTCTGTTAAACACTTACAACATTGATAATGGCATCAAAAATATAAGATGATATTTCTAGAGAACCATTTAAGTCCTAAAAAGTATCTAAGTTGTTAAATGAATTCCTTGAATATCTAGTAACAAACAAATGATTCATAGTAAACAATTTCGATACTTTATTTTGATGTTGTGTAGAACAATGCAGCTTTCAGAATGTGTATTTGTTTTGGATAAAACAAATAGTAGTGTCTGTAGATGTTATTTATGTCAAAAAAGCATCTAAAAACATAGACATACAATAAATTGTTGTAACAAAGTACATTGTTTTTCTCATATAATCTGAGCAGTGATCGATCAATCAACTGAAGTATACATAAAACTAGTCCAATTTTACGTATTTTAATTCTTATTTTACGAAAAAAATTATTGGATCATCAAAATTATCAATCTAAAAATACGTTCAATTTTTATTTTTTTTTTAAATCAATTCAAACTGGACGTAAATCTTAGTGGAAACGTTAACAAACTGTGAAATGGATGGATTCGACCTTATGAACTTAAAACTGAATGAACTACTACATAGAAGCCTAGAGTTAACCAATAAACTTTTGAAAATTTGTTATTACATTTATTCTTTTAGCTTAAATTAACTCCATTTTGATGTTAATTATTGTTTGAAATTGTCATTATATATAATAATGTTATGATATACCGAGTTATTTTCATACCATATTCATCGTAACGCATTTCTATTTAGCCTAAGTTCTTTAAATAAACTTTTAGTGAGTACTTAATATTAGATATTATTTATTTGAATAATTGTAATGTGTTGATTGTATGCTTTAGGGTTAGGAAATAAGTTTATTTTTATTTTATACATATTGTTTACTGATTCTTTGAGTCACTAAGGAATTATTAATTGATGTTAGTGTTTTACTAACTACAAAGTAATGTCCTAGATTTTAGTTGTAGTAAATAAGAAAGGTTCATGTTTCCCAGGTAACATTGATTTATGCTAGATCAAAAAAGTACATATATCGATCTACCTACTGATTAAAACACACTCAAGTGCATTTAAGTAACTTAACAGTCAGACATTGTTTTTTTCTTCATAGAATGGAGTAAAAATGAGATAGGTTTTAGAAGATTAGTTCTTGTACATTTGAGTCATTTCTAGGAATGAAAACAAATGAAACCCTTGCTTTTTAGGTTTATATTTATACATATTTTATGTAGGGGTGAACATAAATCATGGAGTAAATATACGTAATGGTTTATGTTACTAGATTTGATGAATAATATATGTAACCCATTGAATATTTAATCTCTCAAATTACTTGATATCAGTTTATGCCTTTAGTATTTTTACATAATATTTAAAAGTGTTTGTTGAAATATGATCTATGTGGATTAAGTCATTCTTTTTAATGAATGGATTCATTTACTTATCAGTACATAAAAGATGCTTTCTGTCATCAAAGAATTTTAACTAATGCATTGTCAAATACTTTATCGAGGGAGGCAAATTTCTAAACGTGAAATATAAATGTGATTAACAGTCATAGTATTAAATGGCTTAAACAACATTTTAAATTTATTATCTATTTAAAAGAATTATAATTAGTATTATACTTGATTTGCTAAGTACCATTTTCAATGGAATTAGGTTTCGTTGATTTATCTAGAAGAAAATATAATTGCATTAATGTTACAATAAGTGATATCCAGCCATCTCAAAGGCGAAATGTTCATAAAGAACAACACAGTTAACATTTATTTCAGTTTCATTCAAGCGTTCTAATTATTTATGTTTTTCATTTACCTGCTTCATTTTCAAAATGTATGCACAAACACCGTGAAAATCGAAGTCCCTATCATTTGACAATAGCTTTGGTTTTCAACTATCACAGTTGAACAATAAAAAAAATTAACAAATATTTGTTAATTACTTTTGAAATTTTTTGATTGATATCATGAAATGATTGATGTTAAACTACTATTGAAAACCTGGGAGAACTGGACGGCCATTTCGTCCTGTCATGAAACTCCTCAGCAGTGCACACCCACGATCCCGCTCACAAGATTCAAACCCAGGGCCTTCAGTCTCGCACGCAAACGCTTAACCTCTAGACCACTGAGCTGGTCGGAATCCAACGGTCTTAATGTCTAACTTCAATCAATCCACGAAATTGAGCGACCATCTTCCATTGTACTGAGGTAGATACCTGTCTCTACGCGACACGGATTAGCTCCACTGGTCACGGCTTCTCACTAGAATTCTCGGAATTCCCTCACAAAGTTAGTCACTAGTGAGCACATAGACTAAATGGCAGTCTAGTGCTTCCAGGTTTTTAATAGTGGTCTAACATCAATCGGTTCATGATCTCAACAAAAAAATACTATAAATCTTCTACATAAATTTATTTTCCAATCATCTGGTTAGTTGTCAGTACCATTTATTGTTATTATTCTTTTAAAGTTAGTCATATATTTTCCTATTGTCTGTAAGAGCTGTTTATTTTGTTGCTAACTTATATGACACTCACAAGCAATCAATACAAATTATTTCAGATCATTTCGGTAGAATCAATGTTTGTACTTGTATATTACAGAACATGTTTTCTCAAAGGTCACTTGAAAATTGTTAAGTGATAGTAATTTTAGAATACTTCATGCCATTTTATGTTTAATTCATTATTGTATTTTCATCTTATCTGCTGATATTGAATTTATATTCAGCATTCATTTGTTTGATTGTGAGTGCGCACTGCTGAAGAGTCCCACACTGGGATGAAATGGCCGTTCAGTGCTTCCAGGTTTTCCGTGGTGGTCTACCTTCAAATGACTCATGAACTCAACTATTAAATTACTATAATATTCACGAAACCCCTTTCTGAAAAGGTTATTTGTTGTTATTGTATTAAAGAAAACATTTTTAGCGGATATTTTTACTAACTGAATTAATCTAAATAATAGGTAACCCAGTATATTACTTAAATAGAACAATCGTCAACTTAATAGTTGGGAAAACTAAATATTCAAACTATTTTAGTTACTTTAAACTAATGTGTGTGTGATGTTCATCTGATTAAAGACGAGGTTCATTTTCTATTCCAAGTAAAAGGAAATTAGCATAATTTCTTTCCTATATATTTAATACAAACAGCTATTTAGGTTTTAATACTTATTCCAAACAATGTACTTGTTGACACTAGGTATTTCTATATGATTAGATTAAGTTTAATATCCTTACTAAAAAAAACTAATGAATTTTTTATATTATGGGCAGTTTAATGAGTCTGACAAATGAGTTTTATTGGGGGAATAGTAAGTGTTAATGTATATCCTATTACTTCTTTTAACTCCGCCTGGAGCCCCTCTGAGGCTACTGCCAGTCCCAAGCCCGGATAAAGAGGGAGGGTTGGACAAGGGGTTAGCGACCCCATCCCGTAGAAAACTAACGCGACAAAAAAAACGCTAACCATTACTCCTTTTAATTTATAGGTTAAATTCTAAAAGAAAATCATGAAGAATTACAAACATTAATACAACAATTAATGAGTTTAATTACAATCTGTGTTTTCTAACTAAAGCTTATTAGCAATGGAAAATATCATGTGAAATAAATGAAATTCCCCGGTAATCAGACTTCATAGTTCTCATCCTACATTTATGAATTGAGAGAAATACAATAACTTTTTTCGAATCAAATGTCAACATAGCTCGATGTCTCAATTTGATTACTGAAACGACAGAATTATTAATATAACTGGATTAAATATTTCAGATTTAAACTTCAACTTATAAACCGATTATTTTAATGAAATCCTGTTTAAATATTGTAGATTGTCAGTATTTGGTCTTTTAAAAGGTTGAATATGGTAATTATAGTTTCATCCTTTATCATATATTCTAGTACTTCGTTCATTTATTCTATTTGGACCACACATTATGCTACCCAAGTGACGTGATCAAAATTAATGGAGTGGATTTTGGACATGGTATTTGTTGCTTGGACGATAAATGTTTTAACCAATCAGCCATCGTTCCACCTTTTAACAATAATCGGTGAAGTGGTAAGCACATCAAGACTCAACCGTTTTTAGTAAATCCATAATGACTATACATTACAGATGATTTGAATGTAATCTTTCCTACAGAACATAAAAAATGAGTTGGATTTACGGAATATAATGTAAGTAACAAGTGTGAATCAAGAAATTTAGCTAATATATCAGCCAGCCAATCGAAAATACCAACAAACTACATCCCTTTATGCTCAAATAAAAGACTATTACTATTGAATAATCTAAACTATAATTGATATAATACATTCTGAGAGATCTATCATTCTAGACTAGTCCGAACTTTTTATCATTTGTAAATCTCAAATCTTTGATTTTATAAGTGAGGTGAATTTTAATATAATATTAGTCAATAACTAATTCTGTAGGGAATCCATTTGTGGAGCTGGATTCAATCCTAGACATTTTAACTCATAAACACAATTGAATTCTTAGCACAAAGCCAATCATCATTCTCAAATCTAAATTTTTAAAAAAAACCTACCAACCACTGTTAATGTAAATAGTTTTAATCAATTCAGTTAAAACTTACTTGTGGACATTTATTTGACGTAATGAATGATCTAATTGGCATACTTCTTATTTGTCTTCGTTTCAATTCACTATTATAATCCAATTTTGAAATAAATGGAATTATTAAAGGTTGATAGAACATAGTACTTGACTTTATACTACTGGAAAAGAATTTATTGAATTGATAATTGAATTTATATGGTTTATTTACAATCCGACCAGTTACATAATATACATTTGAATTAAAAAATAACATTGATTGTAAGATTGGTTGAAATAATAAAGATAATAATATAAATACTATCAAATGTTTGCATTTTTGTATTGATGAAGGCTTAAAATACATATTAAATACTGTTAGTATTCATTTAAGCATAGAGATTATTTGTATATACATTTAATTAATATATAGTACTGTAAGCGTAAACTTAAGCTTAGATCTAGCGTAAAATATGCCCATACACATAAATGTGGTAGAAATGGAGACAACAATTCTTATTTATTTTTTATTGTTCTAAAATGAGTGTGTTGATTAGTTTATACACCATATTTCTACACACACGCGCACACACACACTAATGTATACGCGCATATATTTCAGTGTTCATATAGATTTGTCTACAAACCAACGGACTAACATTACATACATACAGACCGGGATACAATTATACACCAAACTCTTTATGACACAGAAATTTCATTTAGTGCTTATAAGCTAAAATGTTAAGAAAATTTTTTAAAATTTTTCTTGCTTACTTGTCCTAAATTATTTGACAATTCTATTGGAGATTAGTTCAAGGGATGTTTGGTATAGATTCATTCATTTTCTTGTTTCAGCTAATCACATTAGTGTATTTGTGGATAGACGGAAAATTCTAAACAGGTATACCGTAAACTAAAATATGTGTTTTTAAATGTTGTTTGTGTAATTATTATTATCGTTATTCTGACCAATTTCGCCTTTGTCTTATTGGGTGGTCAGTCAATGGTTTGAAAACATACACCATCTGTTGATATCTTATGTAGGCAACCAAAATGAATAGTAAATGCTTTGTTTATTTGAACTACATGCTACTAATGATGATGGTGATGACGATGATGATGTGACAATAATAATTTTCGTTGGTGAACAGTAAGAAATTTGAAAAAGAATGTCTAGAGAAGAGATAAACAAAAAGGGTAACTAACCGCTTTATTACTGAAATAAAAATATTAAAGGTTAGGGTAATGTTTGTTTAATAATATTTTCAATGGATTTATGGACTGGGTTTGGGTGTGTGATGTTTGTTTACATCCGGTTGTTTTTTTTATTCGACCATAGATTCTTTCTTTTATGCAGATTTTCTGTTAACTTGTTCATGAGCTTATCTCAGTTGACCGCAATAAAAAATCTTATTGTCTAGTCTATAAAACACAGTCATCTTACCGCTTATTGAAGGTAGGTCATATATATATAGACGATAATCAAGATTAGAGACTTATTGTTTATTAGAAAAAGCTTTATTATTTGATCATCCATCACAGAAATTCATAGATAAGTTAGTTTGATAAATTGCTCTAATTCCCTAAGAATACAATTGATTTCGATGTTTAGTTGATATTTGAATGTGATCGGTAAGAGATTCCCAAAGCATACATTGAAATGAAGATAGTGTCTCAAAAATTATTACCGACTTGTTATAACCGTTATTTGGTGCTATAGTAAACTACATTCAACAGTTTTATCAGCCTTGATGTGTGTGCCAACGGTGGAACAGTCAGTGTTTAAAGATAGACATACTGCACATTAATTCTTTCCGTATTACTCTACAACTGTGAAAAATGGCATATGAGAGTAGAAGACATGCTTAGGTACTAAGCATTTGGAAGTTTTCTCGACACGTTGCTTCTATATCGTGAAAGTATATAGTGAGTAATCCTCAGTTTACCAGTCACATCACAAATGTTCAGTAACTGAGGTAATTAGGATATATATCATACATATTCAACCATAGGTTAAATTGATATGCAATACTATCCACTGTTAAAGTAGGTAGATTAAAACTAAAAGGTGGGCAGATGAAGACATTATGTAATGAAATTATTTATTCATAGTCTGAGACATACTAAACTGTTTCAAACTTCCGATTGGTGGGACGTAAAATAATCGTAATCTATGGCTGGATACTGTAGCGGTAAATAAATCCCCAAAATAAATAGCACTAAGTTTTCGACATTGGATGCTGACCATATGTTTTAGTGGACTCATCTAGCTGAAGGCGCTCGGTCAGGCATCCGCACCAGATCACGTGTGGTAACGCCGTGCTCAACATCAACCACAATCGCTAGCCAGATTAGATCAGAGAATTCCGATATATTGGTCATCGCCAAATATACTCTTCCGATCTCCTCGACTCTGTCTTTTGATTTCTCTGGGCGGGAACGAAATATATTAGAAGGTGTTACTGGTAGAAGCGTTGTCAAACACTGAATACCTGTGACATCAACATTGGTGAAACCGACGTGATCTGGTACACCTAATTGCAACTGTGAGTCTGTTCCTTTTTGGGATTTTTATATATCATTGCCTTATTTTTTTTATTTTTTTAAACATTGTGATTTTTTTTCGTGTTTTTTCTTGGATATATATATATTTTCCCCTCGTTCGTTATCGTACTTCATACTTCATCATGACTGAACAGACACCTAAAGTACTCAAGCTTAAGACTTTGTCCCCGCCTTCGTTTCAACTGATGCCTTTCTGGCCCGACAACATCGAAGCCTGGTTCTGCTACGCAGAAGCCGACTTCCACGAGCACGGCGTGATCGACACATGTGCACAATTCCTCGCAGTAGTCAAGGCACTACCGCGCGAATTCAACAGGTACGTAACACCTAGTATGTTTACTAGTGATGTTTCCGATCCTTACGAAATCTTAAAACGCTCGATTCTTAAACGAGGAGACCTAACTGATCGACAAAGTTTAGATCAACTCTTCAATAACATCGACCTGCAACACGGTTCTGCGACAGACATGTTGCAACGGATGAGAGAGGTAATAGGCCCAAGAACTTTCGACGAAGGTCTATTCAAACAACTCTTCTTGTCAAAACTTCCCCAACAGGTGCAAGCAGTTCTGGTCTCGTTCCAGAACAACGCCTTAGACGAGCTAGCTGCATCTGCCGACCGCATTTTAGAAATTACGAAATCTACTACCGAGGTATTTTCAGTCAAAGAAAAACCTCAAACGACTCAGAATGATATAAACGACTTATGTCACACACTCACGCGTTATCTTAGTCTTTGTACCGACCGTAAGAGATCGCGCACACCACGTAGAAGCATTTCTCGTAAGCGATCTGTCTCTAGACCACGAGAGACAGGTAACCCCGACTGGTGCTGGTATCATAACCAGTATGGAAAGTTTTCCAGAAATTGCAGAAAACCCTGCAATTTTCCCAACACGAAACCGACTGATTCGAAAACCAATTCGGGAAAATTCCAAGCCGGCACGCGTTAACGGCAACCGTAGCCGGCGAACAAAGCCGTCTGTTATTCGTCACAGATGTGACAACGAGAGTTCGCTACCTCGACGACACTGGCGCAGAAGTTAGCGTTCTCCCAGCAAATCCTAACGACTGGCTTCACGAATCAGCTCTAAACTTACAGGCGGCAAACGGATAACCGATCGCTACGTATGGCAAAAGGTACGTTTACCTTAACGTGGGTTTACGCAAACCTATTCACTGGATCTTCGTTGTTGCAGATGTTTCTATGCCAATCATTGGTATGGATCTTCTACAACACCATAATCTGATCATCGACACGCGCAAACGGAGGCTAGTAGACGGAAACACTAATTTGTCCGTTTGCGTAACTTCTTTACTGGTTGTAGAGTATCCCCAGTCACAGTTAAACATATGATAGACCCACTCTATCAACCACTACTCGATAAGTACTCTGGGATACAACAAACTCAACCGAAACTACCGTGTGTAACCAGCAATGTTACACATCACATCACGACTACAGGACCACCTGTATTCTCTAAAGCACGACGACTAGCTCCTGAAAAGCTAAGGTTAGCGAAAAACGAATTCGATCACATGATGGACTTAGGAATCATACGACCGTCAAGTAGCCCATATGCATCTCCGTTGCACATGGTCCCTAAAAAGGACAGCAACGATTAGCGTCCAACTGGTGACTATCGGCGATTGAACGCGAAAACCATTCCCGATCGTTACCCGTTGCCTCACATTCACGATTTGACAGCTACCTTGAAAGGTACAACTGTCTTTTCGAAAATCGACTTGGTTAAAGCGTATAACCAAATCCCTATGGCTACTGACGACATACCGAAAACAGCTATCATAACTCCTTTCGGACTCTATGAATTTTTGCGAATGCCTTTCGGTCTAAGGAATGCTGCTCAAACATTCCAAAGATTCATAGACGACGTTTTTCGAGGTCTCAACTTCGTACACGCGTATGTTGACGACTGTCTAATCGCAAGTCCGGACAGAGAAACACATCTCAAGCATCTGGATCTTGTTTTCGAACGACTACAAAAACATGGCATAACTGTAAACGTTCAGAAATGCCAATTCGGAACCGACTCATTAGACTTTCTGGGACACACTATCGATGCTCAAGGTATCCGACCTCTTAGGACCAAAGTGGCGGCCATTCTGGATTACCCAGAACCGACCACCGTCAAGCAATTACGCACGTTCAACGGCCTGGTAAGTTTCTATAGACGTTTCATACCCAAATGCGCATTACTTATGAAACCTCTGACCGACCAACTTCGTGGAAGTGCGAAATCCATTAATTTGGACGACACCGCACGAAAAGCATTCTCCACAGTTAAGGAACTGATTGCTAAAGCAACAATGCTCGCACATCAGGACACCCGAGCACCCATTAGCATCGCAGTAGACGCATCGGACTCGGCAATCGGAGGAGTCTTACAACAATGGGTTAACAACTCCTGGCAACCCTTGGCATTTTTCTCTAGAAGGTTGCTAGACACCGAATCGAGGTACAGCACATTCGGTAGGGAACTCCTAGCTATGTATTGTGCTGTACGGCATTTCCAACACTACATCGAAGGTCGTGAATTCACTCTTTTCACGGACCATAAACCGCTCACTTTCTCGTTAAGCTCTCCTTCTGACAAGTACTCTCCCCGTGAGTCTCGACAACTGGACTACATTTCGCAGTTTACTTCAGACATTCAACACATCTCTGGAGCAAACAATGTAGTTGCAGACGCTTTATCTCGCATAACTTCCTTGAACAGTTTCCAAGGAATCGACCTTCTTAAACTCGCCGAGCTTCAAAAAGAAGACAGTGATCTTCAG